TATATATATATATATATAATAGAAAGGGTACAAAGCATATTACAAAAAGGAGAAAACAGATGACAGAATGAACCACTTCACAGACATACTACTGATCGTGCTGTTGCTAACCCTGGACTTCCTACTATTAATAAGAGCTTTTGCAATTTCAAAGCATAACAGCTAAGTAAATAGGAGAGTTCAACATACAATTAATCCTATACCCCAAGACAGGCTGTTTTAAGCCTTTGGGGCAGCTATGTTACATGGAGCTCTTTTGTTGACAATTCACAGAAGCCAACTAGAGTTAGCTTAAGCTCAAAGTCTATGCACCTTAAGAACAGAATCAGTGATTGGGAAATTAAAGAAAACTTAGGAAGTCTCTGCCTCCATCTTCTTTCTAGTTATTTACTTCATCTTTCTCTCCTTGCTTCCCAGTCCACATGGCTACTCCCAGACCTCACAAGATTATACAGTATTGTATAGAAGCCCAGAGAGAAATAGAGCCTGATTTTCTTTCTCAGCCTCCGCTGTTCTCTCTTGTTCTCTTTCCTTCTCCCACACCGTCCTTTTCAAAATGCCCAGGGAGAGAAATGGTCCTGCTGGGTCAGGTACCTACACCAGGACCAATCAACTGTGGAGAGAAAGCAATGTGACAAAGTAGAAAAACGGCAGTACTCTGCAATCCAACAGAATGGGGGAAAGGGACATTCCCAAAGAATGGGTATTGGCAAACAACCCAAGAGAATCAACTATATGAGTCATGGAACTGTTTGAGAAACAGATAAAAACATTGGACCTTCTTCACAGCAATATGTACACACTCACAAACACCAAACTGTCCATACAATTTGAGGGCATTCATGAAGCCCCTGTAATCCATTCTTAGATCCTAATGTTAAAACTCTCTATTATCCATTTAGGTATTTTAAATGCTTAAAATTTTTCAAATACTGCTCTTCAATTTTCAAATTTTAAATACTGAATGTGAAATTACATTCAATGGTTTTTCAACCACAAAAAATACACATAATAAAATATTAAGTCTTTCACAGGAATATAACACGTAAGAAGTCTATACTAATAACGTGGACTAGGTAGAAGAGGCTAACAATCAGACATCAACTGGAGTCTACTGTCATCAAATGGACACTATATGGCAGTCCCTCACATTTTTTTACTGCAGTTAAAATAACTTTTCCATAGTATGTCCCCAAAGACGGTCAAACACTTGGGGGATGTGTACCTAGCCCCTCTCCCATTCAAATCGTAACACTTGAAGTTACCTCATAAAGAGATACATAGTTATTCAAAAAATTAGTAAGATCTAGTGCATTGCTACTTATGATGGTCTAGAAAAAAAAGTCTATACATAGTTTAATCAAAAGTTTCTATTCAAAATACACAGCTATTACTGTATGCAATTTTACTCAAAACAAGCAAAACCAAACACAAACAACAGAAATAAGCTAGGGAAATAAAATGAGAAGTAAATGCCTCAGATCTATTATGAAACAGGTGAGATATAAATTTAAAATCATATTAGTCAGGAAACCTATACCCTCCACTGGTTACTAGGAAGCAGTCAATGACATTAGTAATATATCCTTAACATCTGAGAGTATATAATGGAAGGAAATGGCCACATTTTACCACAAAATGTTCTTACATTACAGGAAAAGACAGAAAAATAGAAAACAAAGAACAATGTTTTAACAGAGAGTTGTGTTACTCAGACATTCTTCAAATGTATCGAAAAAGGGGCTTATGAATACAGTACTATACCTATGCATTTTGATTCTATAACATATCTTGTATAAACTTCATATATGAAAATACTATGAAAATCTAAAATATTCAGTATTATATCCATGCATTTTGACTCTATAATGTATCTTGTGTAAGTTCCTTATATGAAAATACCCTGAAAATCTAAAGTGTTATCTTTGCTGATATATTTTCTAGACAATCTTTGAAAGAGAATCTAATTTCCTGAGTATGTGAATACATAAACTTGATGAAAGCTAGAATGATGAAACACCACTGAGTCTCATTACATACAATAAAATTTAAAGATCATATTCCCACACCATACTGAAAATTTTTGTATTAAGTAGAGTTGGAAAAAGGAAGACTCTCATTATATGAGGTTAAAAAATATTTTTTTAAGCAGAGTAAACTGCTGTACTAATTATCATTTTTGTATACAATATTGAACCATATATGAAAGTCAGCACACAAAGTCTAAAAATTAATCAGTTACTGTGTTTCATTTAGAAATTTCTGTACTTGAAAAACTTTGGAGAAAGTATTTTTTAAATTATAAATTCATTCATGGATTTAACATGAATAGTTTTTAACAGTTTCACATGTCCCTGAAGTTCTATGACAGGTAGTAATTTGTAATTTTGGTTGAGTCACACCTTTCACTCGGATACACTAAAAGACTAGCTGGTATTCCTGAGCTACTAGGAAGAAATAATCCCAGCCAATGTGAGTGACATCTGTAAGTTTTTTGCTCATTTTTGAATGCAGAGTAACTCTTATGTAATACCTGAAGCACAAGTTTTTTTTTTTAAATCATACTTCACTTTTTAAAAAATACGTGAAATGACACAGGACAGAGGTATCTGCAAATGTGTGGGTTCACAAAGGAAGGTCTCTGAATACCCCTTGTAAGAAAGTCAAAGGGTTTAATGGTAGCTCAGGAGAATGCAGGATTTTGGTACTATCAATAGGTACATCATAATCTAATAGGATGATCAGAAGGCAGAACTGACAATTCTAGGACTCAAACTTAAATTCTGCTACTAAATTCTAATATGATTTCACATTAAATCCAAGTTAATGTACATCATTTACCTCACTAGAGAATGAGAGAAAACACTGTATGTATCTGCTTTTTGGACACTAAAATGCAAAGTTCACATAAATTCTCCTATGTGAAATTCAGAACTGAAGTAGCTTTTGGTACAAATATTTCACCAGGACAGTGATTTGAAGGAGCATTGATTCCAATGCACAACTGTAATAATTGTAGCTGAAAAACATAAATGCCACTTTCTCATACTTGCATCAAGGAAAAAACTGAGTCATATTTCATCCACATTCCTTAGTGTCATCTTCAAACAAGTAGACAAATACTTACAAATATATCTAAAGCCCATTGCCTAGACACAAAGTAAGAAATATTAATAAAAATGGACTTGTAATATACAAAAAGCTCGTGTGCTACAGACTATGATTACCTGGAGGTAGGAATTGCAGTTGGTTATTAGCTAATCGAAGATGACGTAAAGCTCTCAGACGACCAATTTCTGGGCAAACAATTTCTAAGGCATTGTCACTAAGATCCAAACACTGTAGTTTTACAAGGGACCCAATGGCTTCGAAGAGAAAAGAAGGGTTAAAAAGCATGATTAATTTGACCCAAGTGTTTTAACAGCAAACTTTAATGCAAGTACTCCAAGTTTAAATATTTTAATGCTTAATATCCCTGTCTCCAGGGCTGACATAATAGTAAAAACATATATCAAACTAAAATTTTTTTAAATTTTTATTATAGTATCAAACTAAATTTTATGAAGTGATAACACTTCTACCTTGATATAAAGTTTAAAAATAGCACGAATAAAAATGTTAAAACAATGTAAAAATTACTTGAATAAATAATTCATGAAATGATATATAGTCTTTTTTATCTAACCAAAATGCTTAACTGGATTTATTAAACTTAAAAGTTATCATTTTATTATTTACCCAATGACAGTTTATCTGATAATAAATTTTTACCTAACCATTATAACTATTTTAGACTTCTTAAATTTAATTTAATCGTAACAGTTAACTGGATTACTAATTAGAGGAAAAAAAGCTTTGAAACTAATAAAGATGCTCTATAATTAAAATTCCTTAATTTTCCAACCAAAATTGGTTTAAAGAGACAATCTGTTCTACTATTATAAACTATAATAGCACTATACTATCTGTTCTAGTATTTAAACTATAGCACCTCCTAACTAAAAACTTGAAGTGCACTTACCTTCCGGAACCACAACTATGTTATTTGAGTGAAGATATCTAGAGGAAAAGAAGGGAAAAACAACTGTTATCATTCAGTACTTCTGCTAGATAATCACTCTGTAAAATGCTCACTTAGAGATTTATCAAATATAAAGGGACCAGATTTTCTTTCATACCCTACTCTAAATGTGTAACACAAAATATATGGTCATCACAGATAATAATACTTTGAGAATAATATTGTATGCTAGAATTGCAAATATTAAAACTATTTGCTAATTTAGTTGCTATTTTAAAATTAAAACATACACAATATTTTTTTCAACCTCATAAAACAAATTACTAGTTTCTCTAGTTCATTTTAAATTATTCAGGTTTTCAAAAAAACATCTACTGTGTAAAGAAAAGTCAACACCTATCGTGTAAAGGAAAATGCAACTTTTAGTTTTTAAAGGATAACTTCACAAAATAATCAAAGATATTTCAAGCCAGTATGGAGAACCAGAAATGAAGCAATTAAATACTCATCATTTATGATATCTGTAGAAATATTCAACTGTCAAGGTACATAATATATTTCACAGCAAGAGGAATTTTGTAAATAAGAAATCAAATTCTTTTCTTAGGGAAAAAAAAAGTCTACCCGGCTGACAAGTCCAGGCAAGTCTAAGTAAATAACATTCCCCACTGAAGTATCTTTAGCACTCTCTGGTGGAGACTTCATGCAATGGTCGGCAGCCAACTATTCAGAGCAAAACAACAGTGACCAATGAAAATCACATAATAATAATTTTAAAAACAAATTTAGATCATTGATTTTGAGGCTAGAGAACTAGATTTTGATAAACTATTTTCAAACCTGTTGTCTTATTTATTATACCTCATAATCACTCTTCATATAGTATATTTTAAATAGAATTTAAAATATTTCTTCTATATATTTTAGCCTAATATCAAATGTTAAAATGTCAATGACACAGAATAAGAAAGATACAAAATTAATAATTTTAAGAAGATTTTTATATGCTGGATTAAATCAATTCTGTGTGGGTATTAACTTGCTGGGCCTAACACAATTTAAACAATTACACCATTCTACGATTCATTTTATTCCTTGCTTTGTGTATACAGAATGATTCCATATTTTACTTTTTTTAGAATGTTTCCATATACAATCAATATTCTTTAAACATTACTTTTAGGAAGAAATACCTAACTACTTTAACAGATTACTCTAAAAATTCTTTATGCCAAAAGACTATATATATATAAGTGTACACACACATTTGCATGTATTACACAAAAGGCAGAGTACCTAGACACCAAAATAGATAACTGATTTTTCAGTAATCCACAAAATTTTTGCCTCAACTCCAATTCTACCCACAAAAAAGGACCTTAAAATGTCCAAGTCAAAATATGAACTAAAGTACTATTATCATTAAAATCAAAAAGTATATTTTAACATAATAAATTTATCTACATTATAATGAAAAGCAGTAAATGGTAGTTCAGAATGTTCTCAATCCTGGCTACACATTAGAATCACCAGTGGTCTTCAAAATATAGATGTCCAAGGCCATCTCAACTCAAGTTGTTCTGATGTGCAGCTGATGAAGAATCATCACTGGTAAAGTGGCTCAGAGTAGGTTCTGGGGCCAGACTGCCTGTACCTTAATATCTATGTGACCAGGGGAAAATTATTGACTTTTTCACTTTCTTAATCTACAGAAGTAGAGGATAACAGCACCAACAACATAGGGATGCTGTGAGGATTAAATGAATTAATAAATGTAAAGCCCTTAGAACGGAGTTCCATGAATGCCATTGTTATAATTATTATTGTTATCATAAGTCATTTGTAATCAAAGGCTTAGAAATTTTAAGTCACTTCTGTCTACTTAATTTTTGTAATTTCAAAGTAGTTAAAATGTTGGGGTTTTGATGTAACTGGTTTTCATCATGTTATTCTTCTACTCAAATAATGCAGGAACTCTCATTCACTGCTGGTGGGAATGTATGACTGTACAGCCACTTTGGAAAATGGTTTGGCAGTTTTTTAATAAAATTAAATATAGATATTTACTTAATAGTAATATGGCAGTGTCAGTTTCTTAGTCTTGACAAATGTTCAATGAAATTGTAAGATGTTAACAACAGGAGAAACCTGGGCATACTGGAACTCTGTACTTACTATCTTTACAACTGTTCTGTAAATAAAAACTGCTCCAAAATAAAAAAAATTTTTTTTTTATTAAAGCAACAGGACTGATACTTCCAGCCATGAGGAAATAATAAGGACCAGACTTACCTAATTGCTATAAGCAACAAGAAAACCAGATGGAATATATGAAACAATTATTTTCAAATACTGACAAGAGGCAACTAGTACTATGTTCCCTGAGAGAGAAGAAACAAGTGAGGTGAGCCACACAATGTCCACAGATTTATGCCTGGAGGCAAACTGTGCACTGTGGTACAAAAATGGGATCCCAAACAAAGAATGGAAGTCTCACTGAGTTATGAAGAAACATATCAGAGTTCAGGGAACCTGAGGCAGCTGGAAGTTGTGGGTACAGTTCTGGAGGAGAGGGCACTACTGAAAAAAAAACTTCAAGGGATCCTTTGACTCTTAGCTGAATTCTAAAATGCACTCCAGTCAAAAAGTAACTGAAAACCTATCAGCTGAACAGTCCACAGAGCTCATACAGGGCTAGAAAGCATTCAAGTTCTGAGCAGCAAGTGTACCAAATCCTTGTTGATCACTTGGTGCATTTAAACGAGATTCTAGAAAGGTCCCGTGTGGGTAATAGGGCTAAACTATCCCTTTAGTAGAAGTTACTCTATCCCTGTCCTAACAAGCATAAAGACAGGCCATGAAAGGATCAAATTAAATTGTAAATAACTGTACGCCAGAACAAAGCACCACAAAAAGGAAGACAACAAAGTGTAGACACAATAAAGTATTCTTAAGGCCCAGCAGCTAATCAAAAAGTGTTAAGAATTAGGAAAATGTGACCAATAACCAGGATAAAAAACAGTTAATACGAACGGAACCAGTATGACACAAATGATGGAATTAGCAAATAAGAACTTTAAAACAAAACAACTATAACAACTATATTCGGGTATTCAAAGAAAAATACAAACATTGTGAGAGAAATGTTAACATATAAAGAAGAACCAAATAGAGCTTCTAGAGATCAAATATACAACAAACTAAGTGAAAATGTCACTAGGTTGGATTAACAGCTTATTAGATACTGAAGAAGAAAATACTACCAACCCTGAAGACAGAGAAATATAGTATGTCCTAACTGAAGTACATTAAAAAAAAAAAAAAAAAAAGGACTGAAAAGAATAGAACTGAACGGTGTGTCAGTGATTATGGGACCATATTAAACTAACAAACATGTAAGAGTCCCAGAAGCAGGGACCAGAGATAAGGGTATAGAAATAAATATCTAAAGAAATATGTTTAAAAAATCCAAATTTGATGCAAACTATAAAGACACAAACCCAAGAAGCTCAATGAATGTCAAGGATAAAGAAAAAGAAAACCACAACAAGGTACATCAAAATCAAATCCCTGAAAACCAATAGAAGAATCAGAAATTCTTCAAAGTAGCCCAAGGAAAAAAGACACATTACATACTGAGGAAGAAATATAGGAATGTCAGCAGATGTCTCTTCAGAAAGTATGCAAGCCAGAAGACAATAAACACCGTGAAAATGTTGAAAGAAAAAAAGTAACTGACAACCAAGAACTCTAATTCCAGAAGGCAAAACATACACATTTCAGAACTATGAAGATGAATGTAAAGCAAAAAACTATACAACTTTTAGAGAAAAAAAGCAGGAGAAAATCTTCAGAGTCTAGGACTAGACAAAGTTCTTAAATTCGACACTAAAAACATGATACATAAAAGCAAAAACTGATAAAGTGGACCTCATCAAAATGTAAAACTTCTGCTCTACAAAAGAACATGAAAATAGAAGTTATACAGAGGGAGAAAATATTTGTAAACAACCTATACAACCAAGGACTGTTTTCTAGAATATGTAAAGAACTCTTAAAACTCTTACAACTAAAGAAAAATATCCAAATAGAAAATGAGCAATAGACATGAACAGACATTTCACTAAAGAAAAGATAAAGATCACAAGTACCTGAAAAGATGTTAAATGAATATTATTAGCCATTAGAGAAATACAAATTAAAACCATAATTAGATAAAACCACACATCTATCTGAATGACAAAAATTAAAAATAATGACAACAAAATAATGCAGGTGAGACGTGGAGAAACTGGAACAATCACACATTGCCGGGGAGAATGTAAAATGGTACAGCCAACCTGGGAAATTATTTGGCAGTTTTTAATAAAACTACAAATTCAGATAAAAAGTGGCAGAGTAAGGACCTCCAAAAATTCTCTTTTTTTGTAAAATCAACAATAATATTGGCAAAAATTATCAGAAGCTACATGTACAGAACTCTGGAAATTAACCAAAGACTTGCAGTAATACAGGGAGGGTTTATGTAAGAAAAATGGCAAAAATCTCAGTAAGAAGACTAAGCTGTGAACTTTAGGGTATTTTTACTTGCCCCAGTCCTATACCCTACTCTCCACCTCTGCAGAAGCCTGGAAAATCACTTTGCTTTTCACTTCAATTGCAGTAGCCTGGCTAGTACCTAAAGGGGCAGAACCAAGTTGGAGTTCATTTCCAGAGAACTGTCATTTGACTGTCTCACGGATCTCTGAAAGATCCCACTTGCAAGGCTGTTTTTAACTTGATCTGACTAGAAGCTTGCCCAGTACAAAAACCCTTTCCCCAACTGAGATAAATTACAGGCAGTTGTTTAACTTCGCTGGTGCCTGAGGCACTAGATAACAGCTGGAGCAAACAATAGACAACCAAAAACCTTAAATGAAAAAGTTGGGGAAGGAGACTTCCAGAGGAACTTTGAAAAACTCTGACATATTTCTAGAAATCTAGAAGGTCACATGCATGCCCAGAGCTGCACATATGCTCAGGAAAGACCCGAGAAGAC